GAGTAAATTTAATATATTTGGTTCTGACGGTAGAATCTTGGTGTGGAGGAAACCCAGGGAAGAATTTCATAAACAGAACTTGATGCCAACCGTAAAACATGGTGGAGGAGGAGTTATGGTATGGGGGTGTATGTCTCCGCTGGAGTTGGTAATCTTGTTTCTATTGACAGTATAATGGATCAATACAAGTATATTGACATTTTAAATCAAAATTTGAAATCTTCAGCACGAAAATTGAACCTTCATAACGATTTTAAATCCTACCAGGACAATGACCCCAAGCACACTGCTTTGAACGTTAGACTCTGGCTGCTGTATAACTGTCTTGAAATAAAAACAGCACCACAATCTCCAGACTTAAATCCTATAGAGAATATTTGGTAAGAATTGGAATCAAGAATTCCCAAACACACCATTTCTTAAAAACAACAATTAAAATCGGTGCTTCAAGAAGAATGGGTAAAATCCAGAAAATCACCAAAAACAATTAGTCGAATCCATTCCAAGAAGATTAAATCATGTTTTAAAAGTAAAAAGAAATCCCATCAAAATATTAAAACCTTTTAAAAAGTTAAATTTTTGGATAAATATTTGATGGAAAAGTAAGTGTCCCATCACTTATGTGAGCCATTTTTTGCTCCGTTCTAAACAATTGTATTTTATTAAGTTAATATTTTAATATTTTTAGAAAATGTATGTTATGTAATAATTGTTACTAAATTTAAGTATGAAACACACCCACAAAAAATTTTACATGTTTTTTTTAATTTATTTTATTACAGTTTCCTTTTTTAAAGCACAAATGTCCCATCACTTTTGTGAAACACTGTATATTCTGTAGAAGGACATAATTATGTTACTCGATTTGGTAGGGCTGTTAAAAGCTCATTATGTAAAACGGTATATATAATTCTCTCGTTCTGTTAAAAAGGGCGATGTGATATATGTAGCTGTGACATAAACATGTAGCTGTAACTATAACTATAAAATTGTAACAGGCAGTGTAGAATAAACAATGTTTAACTGATCTTGTTTAATCTTATTTTCACATATTAGTAATTCAAAAGTTGCAACTCATGACTGAAAAACGCTTGCACGATTTTAATAAAAACTGGTTTTTATTTCATAAATTCTGCATCGCAGAACTGAACTATGTTGAGGGAACTCGATATTTCCTTTCAGAAAAATCAAACTTTTAGAGCAATACTATATGTATGTATAAACATAGCATTACGCTAACATCCAAAATACTCCTTTTGATAAATGAAAAAGTACACAGGTTGGTCATCAGCTACAACTGGAAATACAGAACTGCCCCTGCCACTTTTCGTCTTCTTCCGCAGTGTATCTCACCTTTTACTTCTGTGGAGATACTGATGTAAATTGGAAAATTGTATTTATTTTCTTTTAAGTGACTGGGATAAGGATAAGTTTTTGCAGAATCTTCAGATATAATTAATGATAATTACTACTGATACTACTGATAAAACTGTTCTTAAAAAGTAACTTATTTCCTATTTTACACATCTCTTATAATTAGTATTTATCTTAGATAAATGCAATAAATGAAATATGTAAATAAGTACTACTTAAATACTAAATGAACATACGCAAATAAATACCAAAAGGTTGTAGGATTCTCTACTGTGTACTAATCAGTTGAATGTGAAGAACCTTAAAAGCAAGTAAGCGAATAAACGCTTGAGTTCGTGGGATCGAAAACAACAAGTGAGAAGGGTGTTATAACCCTTTACTATTTCAACTAAAGTTTAACGTAACTCCATCTTGGAGTTTTACAATAAAGCCGGCACTCGGGCTTGAACTTAGGAAACTAAGAACTAAAACTTAACTAAGCTTAATAAAAAAGATATAGCCGAAGCTATCAAGATTCTAACGAAGTTGGCCCCTTAATACTAATTGCCTGCGAAGCTATTAATGGCCTAAAGAACGGCCGAGCGTGCTAGCCAGAATCTCTGGTTATCTCTGACTAAGACAGTAGAACTTCGCGGTTAAATACCGCTCTTCCTCAATTTGCATTCAAACGTGTGATTCTAAAACTACGTTCTGACCGGAAATGGTAATCTTAACTTAAGAAGCGATAGAAAAGGAAGTTTAACTCAAAATTTAACTGTTAATAAAATTAACATAATCCTTACAAGGTAAATAAATATCTAATGAATATAGGTAAATAAATACTTACATTACATGAAGCATTTTTACACAATCTAATGTTCTAGTATTGATTTAAATTTCTGTGTTAAACTTTGATAAACTATTTGCGGTATAAATAAAAATTTGATACTTCTCACGTAAATAATTCCAGCTAAGCCGAATGTTTGTTAATAGGAATCATTAAGCTTTTAGAAGATTTAAATGCCAGAAATAATAGTATTTATAAAATCCTTCTCTTTGTGGGATTATCTTATTGTTTTACGGAGTTTGTAAAAGAGAATTACAAGAAACAGCACTACGTAGTTGTCGGAATGGAAAGTTCTTTCGAGAGGGATTCTACCAAAAGAATAGCAAGTAAATTTCTTAGTACTTTTGGCACTAATCAATTAATAACTTAATTCTCGAAACTTTTATTTCTCGAGCAGGTAGGTATGTGGCAAAATTCTTTTATATGGAGTTCTGAAGTCACAAGTTCACAGACTGACAAGTACACGTTCTCTCCTTTAATACCGGTTTACCCGAAACCCATATATTTTCTGAAAACTTATGTCACAATTAGAAAAACTGTGAAATATTAGGTGCAGAGGGACAAACGCTTAGGAGCTATAGGGCCAAAAATTATCAGAAAAGTGTTGGAAACATGACACCAAAATTTGCTAAAATGCTCGTTTCACATATTTATATGAACTAATAATATGGTAAGAAGGTGGGGATCTTAATGTAAAGGAAGAAACATTATACGTTGGGATGTTGAAAATGTGGCTTGTTATTGACTTCAAACAAAATCTATTGTAAGAAACAATTAACATGCAATTCATCAAATAAACAGTGAAACGGACAGAAAGACAGTTCACAATGGGCACATTTTTCAAAAGCGATAGCCTTACACTTTGCCCACTCATCATTTGTCAATGAATCCAAGCAGTAATCCATTGGCACAATCCACATTCCAGGTTCTTTGTCCAAGTATCTGCCCTTATAAAAAGGGTACTTAATCAAGTTCTTAAAACGAGGAGCGCTGAATTGGTGCAGTGGAAAGGACTGCAGGACCAGAAAACTATCGCGATGCCAAATGTGCTCCTCTGTCTCGATAATGATTATGTCCGTTATGTAACGAATAAAAGATTTGTAATGTCTGAAAAAATGAATATCCAGAGTCTGGATCTTTCCCTTAAATCCTTCATGTACCAGTTTATTTTTTAGTACTTTACCATCAAGTACTTCGGAAGCAGGCAATGCATGAACATACAAGAAATAGAGAAGTCGTTACGGAAATATGTCCATCTATGCACACTTCAATGATACTTTGTGGGTTCTACAGCTCCTAAACGCTTGTCCCTTTACCCCTAAGACTTCACAGTTTTTCTACTTGTGATATAAGCTTTCAGAAAATATATAGGTTTTCGGAAAACCGATATCAAAGGAGAGAAGGTTTACTTGTGAGGCCCATAATATCTACATGAATATATTTAAATATCTAAATCTGTAGATACATATTCCCCACATAATGTTTCAAATAATGGCCTGAATAATGATAGAAATAACTTCATAAGTAAAAGAATAAGCTAACATAAATATCCGAAACTTTCCAAACACTGTTTAAAACAATTTACATTGGATAAAAACAAAAAAAAAATTAAATCCTCCGATAAGCTTATGGAGATTAGAATTTGCTTTCATAATCTAATTTAAAAGATATTTCTTGCTCTATTTTGAATATCTTCACCTTAAATATTCTCTTTGCTAATTTATAATTTATCTTGTACAAAAGTGCTCATATTTATGAAACCATTAAAACTTAATTTATTATTTATTATTTTGATATTTTTACGACATTGATAACTCATTCAAAAAGCATATTAAGAGTTACGTAATATTTATTTAAAAATTATTATACGTATGGGTTGTTATTTACTGAAACATACATTTTGAAAGTACATAAAGAATCCGAAAAGGTAATAAATTGTTAATCATGAAAAGGCAAAATTATTTTAGAATTAAAACACAAATAAATAATTTAAAACTCAACAAAATCTAAATTAACAAGCTTTTCCACCTTTGTATTGCAAAAAGCAAAATACTTTTTTATACCTTCCACACTCACCGATTATTGTTTTCTCTGTAGACCAATTTTTGATTCCCAACAGAAATCTCTGGAGGGTGCTTTGTTAAAAAATAACAAATTATTAATTTCACCTGAGTTTCTGACTTGTCTTACCTTGATATTTTAATGCTGTCCGTCATCACCAGCCCAATTATGTATAAGCAAAGAAAAAAAGTATGTTACCCGATCCTAGAAATACTGCTAAGTCTCTTCAAGGAGAATATTATTGTTTTTTATATTAGGAGAATACATTAACATAGAGAAATCATTGCCTTAATATGACTAAAGTACGAAAGATTTTGCCTATTATGGTTTAATTTTAAGTAATGAGATAGCCTACAAGATATTAGATTTCACGACCGATTTAATAACTTTTGTTTTGTTTAACTGCTGTTTAAAACGTTTTGTCTCTTGCATCTTTTGATATTTAGTTTTACATTACTGCATAAAATACTTTAATATATTTCCCAATAATTTCCAGATATGTATGATTTTTTGTGCTCTATGTTATATATAGCAAACATACGGATAATGAGACTTAGCACTTTCTTTGGAACCCATTCACTCGTATGAAACTGCCCTATAATTGCTTAACGAGATAAACATTTCACCTGCTTATGATGGAAGTAATCACATCCTCTCGTAATACGGGCAAGACTTTCCATTTCGACTACTACTGTCTGAGATTTATAATGCTATATAAAGCAGCAATATAGACACTCACCCCCGGCATGATGTACCTTTCGACATCTTTCATGATATCCTCCCACTCTTCTCCCTTCTTAGGTGCAGCATTTGGAATCAAGTTCCGCAAGTACCCTGGTTCAACATTAGGAGTCACACGACGCTGCGAAATTGATTCCAGATAATCACAAATGTAGTCCACCATTTCCCGGCCTCTTTTGCGAAACTCGGCGGTATCCATAGCGCAGCCCTTTGATTGCTTCTTCGGGGAATCTTCTCGGCTCTCAGATTTCTCCGTTTCCGTTCGTGGACAAGCGGGGCTAGAAAAGAAAATTAGTCCTCCACCAAAATTTTTAAAATATAAATATAAAAAAACTTATTTTCTGAAAGTAATATTTACTTTTACTATCAGAAGTAGGTAAATACAATACATATACAAACAGTTTTGTAGCAATTAACAATACATTTATCGAATTATACTGCGAAATAAATCTTTCCGTTTCAAATACTGCGAAAATAAGTTTTTCCGTTATTTTGTACAAATGGCTATAAAACATAACAGTTGCACTGCAAAAAATATATGAAAAATTATTCTAAATATCCATAATAAATAATATTTTGTATAATATGGTATCTTCTTTTTATATTTATTAATATAATGCAAAATCAACAAAGTATATATAATATCAAATTATATTATTTACGTTAATTCCCATTGTAAAGTTTTGTAGTACCCTTATTTTATATTAAAATTGAAATCGTTGCTTACAGATTTAAATGATAAAGGAATCTTACCTTTTAAAATGGAACAGAAAGAAACTCATTTTTAATCAACATACAGATAATCTGTATTTAAGTATAAATGCTCATATATTTTACATAAGGTTATAATTAATATGAAATAAACTTTGGTTGCAATAAACGCATAGAAACGACTAGTAGGCAGTGTAGGAAAGTGAAATAATAAACTTAAAATCTAGTTCTTAAATGTTATGGCAAAAGAATCAGTCTCATCGATGGATTATCAGGGCAATAACACGCTGTTGATTATTTAGAAACTAAATTGTCACCGTAGCAAAATATTATCAAAATAAAATACTCCTTGTGTCAAAACAAAACATATATAGGTATTACTTGATTTTCAATGCACACGTTATCGAAGCGGCGACAAGATTATCTCCAAGTTTTTTAACTACTGGCATATAATTTGTGGCTGCCATATCTCCGTGACTGCTTTTATATTGCATCAAAAAGCTTATCTTTCCCACAGGATTTTCACCACATGAATTCCGAAAGATACGACTATAGATGATGTCGAGCCGTAAATTTGTTTTTTATTTCGCCATTTAGCAGAGCTGTACAATCTTTTCATATTTTGGGTACGAATACCCGTTGTTGAATCAATGAAATTAAATGTGTGATTCATAGTTAAATGGCTGTTACCAGTCTTTTGAAGCTCATCTATTGTACAGGCTTGCCAACAATCTGGGTACCAGTACTTGGTCTACAATCGTTGATATCAGTGTGCTTGCGTCTCGATTTGAAACCTGAATAAAAAAGCTTTCGCCACTTTGAAACGGCATAACCCGCCGAATATCCACAGCTGGTGAAGTAGTGGCCAGCGTTGTTTTTTACGCCGTGCGAACAAACTCTCGTCAGCTTCAATAGTGTTTTTGTATTTATTTTAACTACTATTTATTTTATTTATTATTTATTTTTGGATTTAACTTTTTAACTGTCATGCCCAAGATTATCTCGGGCACAGCACTGGTGTTCGAAAATGTCACGTCCGAGTATTTCTCGGGGTAATTTTTTTCTGAGTGCATCGTATTGTTATACCCGAATATATATCGGGAGACGTTTATTTCGGCTTCATCTCTTTGTCAAACCCGACTGTATCTCGGGAAAAGTTAATGTGCGCTCAATAAATCATCAAAATAACTTGACAGTTAAAGGGTTAAATCAGATATAGTATTGCATTGAATATTGTTATCATTTATTGTTTATTATTAGTAGTACAAACGGACAATTTGCCCAGGACTATTAATTTCGTTTTGGCATTTTGTGTTGATTCACTATAAATGTCGGTTCACTTTTCAAATTGTTGCAACCAAATATATTGTTGCCACCGCTTTTTTCAATTGTTCCCACCGCCGTTTATTATATTTAAGGAAATTAAATAATGAAGAATCTGCATAAATGTATGCATGTTTCTCACACTGTGATAAAACAACGGTACCCCGAACCATCAAACTTTGAATAACATATGTTTCGACCCGAATACAGACACCTGGAAGCCCTAATTTGGAATTTAGAATTTTTTATTATAGGTTTCATATTTTATAACACTTTAACGAATTTTTGATTAACAAACTCAACGATTTCAAAATGAGCAATGGCAACACTGTACGAAAAAAAACATTTTTATCTCCAGCGCGCGAAACTGTGTATCAGAAATTCTAAAGATATGCTCATTTTAAAATTATTTAATAAATAAAGTTAACACACGAAGCGTTAAAAAAACGCCCCTTCGGGCGTAAGGTAACATCTGAAACCTTTCAGGCTTTGTTTTTGTTTGTTTATTGTATTAAAATGTGAAAACACACACAAATATTTGTTTTCTCTTCTTAAATAAACATGATATTTGATATTACCAACTCATGAAAATAAATCTCTAGTAAAATTCAAAAGGAACTTAAAATTAATTTCAAATTTAAAAGTTTCGCGTTTTAGTTTCTTCTTTATTTATCTCTTTTCATCTTTTTTCATATGTAAAATCGTATAAATAGAAAATTAGTACAATATAAACAAATCTGTATTACCGTTTTAACAAAATTTAAAAAATAGAAATTTGAATAGGGACTACATCATCAAGAACCAAAGACGCCTAAAAAAACCTAATAAAAAGTTTTGGATTCTACTAATCATACAGTTTTAGAAACTTAAGTTATGTAAGATATTCATGGCATAAATTAGCAACTGCTGTAAAATATTAAAAGAAGTCCAAACAAAATTACTTTTTAATCAATAATGCTATACTGAGCAACGCACTTATATAATATCAAAGATTAAATGACATATCATTATACACTGCCGTTTGGAAACCGTGTGAATCTATCGTAACCGTTTCCTTTATTGTTAAGATTAGCTCCAGATTTGTAATGATCGGCACTAGATTTTCCCCGTTACTTTAAAACAAAACTTCCACTGTACTTATTTTATTTGAATTAACCATTCAGTGAATTCAAAGATACTTTTTTCTATAATTAGATCATTTTTTGTTTTATGTTTAATCACTAATTAATGATGTTTCATGAATTAATAATACAATATTTTGAAACTTAACTCAGAAATCCCACACATTTTCTGTGGAAATGAATAATTAATCTCGACTGTTCAGCCTCCTTTAATTGTGACCCATTGCATTTACAAAAACAATTATTACTATACTAATTCAGAAGTCAAACAACAAAAATCAGCGTTATATTTACAAAATTTTCACAGAAATTTTGTAAATATAACGCTGATTTTTGTTGTTTGACTTCTGAATTAGTATTTATTCGGCGTGTTATTGTGTCTTAATTATTACTATATCAATAAAGTGAAAAACTGCATGAGGTAAACGTCTTAAGTATCGTATTTGCTCAATTTCCGCCCACTATAAGTTAAGACTCAGTTTCTTAAAATACTGTTATTTCCTTTCATGAGTTTTCCATGCTTTTTATTTTTTTCCTTACTTCTGTCAAAAGATTAGTTTAACAAATTTCATATTTATGAAGAATTTCATTTATTCTGTTATTCAGCATATTCTTGAAACCAAATCATTCAACTTCTGTTTCTTTGACTATTAAATAACAATATACAAGATTAATAATGTTTTTATTCTTAGAGAAGAGGATCCTGTATTGGTCTGCCTATCAAGGTACGCAATTTTGAGTGTAAAATAATGCTAATCTAAAAATTAAATTTGATAATTTAAAATTTGAATTTTCATGGGTCTGTTCCCTTTGCTAAATTAATTGAATTATTACTTGTCATGAAGCAAGAATAGTTATATTTAATTTATTTTAATACTTATATTCCATTGTAGAACTATTTCATTTAAATAATGTAATATTTCAGAGTACAAAAATTAAATTTTTATCTTCTGCAGTCTATTGCAATGATTAATGTTTAGTTACAGTGTCAAGATGTATAAACGTCACGAAAAAGCTTGATTTCATTTATAAAGTTGAGATATGTATAGCCATTGACAAATCTTTCAATTCGAGTATATCAGCTCCAATATATTCTTCCTTCTTTAAAGTATGCTTATATTCAGCGGATTCCGTATGCAAGGATAGAGATCGACATCAACAACGTGGAAATCTAAACTTCCGGCGTGTTAGATATGTTTTGTAATTAAATACTTGGTTTGTGTTTATAATCTAATACTATCTTTTTCAAAACACCTACATCGAAAGTGAAAATTTGCAGTCCAGCTAATGCAGGCACTTTTCATTTGTTTAGAACCAAAATTAGAAAAAGTGGAGAAATTGAAAAAGAAGGACTAAATTTTGCTAATTGATACTAATATCTTCAGTGAATGTTCTCATATAGTAAGAAGCAAAAACTAAAATTATATTTCACAACAAACTTGTAACATATCGAAACTTATCCATTTAGAACCCCGAGATTGAAGTGTAATAATTAAATTGTCACTACTCTTATTTCAAGCCAAGAAAGCTTACTGCTAAAAATCAAAATTCGAATTTCACGATTATCTAGCTGCGTGAGATTCTGGGGATTTTTCGTATGTGTACGCATATGCAAGCTAAATTCCCTTAGAAAAGTATCATCACCTTAGCCCTGGAGATGGTCCTCAATTTTGCCATGTCTGAGGGAAGAACCGAGCTCTCGTGTGCACTAAAATGGGAGAAAACTGTAAATATAAGCAAGATTATCTATACCTCTCGTGTTTTTAACGATTTATCCCCTCCATCTTAGAGACAAGCATTAAATTTTCGTAGATGAACTGAGCAAAACAGAGAGTTTTTCAGAGTACTGTTCAATTATGAATAAGAAAGGTGATATATGTACCATAAGAAAATAGAAAGACAATAACTAATCATTTCCTGCAATTGAAAACATTTCCTAAATTGTTATGACAATGATAATTTTATAAACTCTTGGTACTTACCCAATATAAAGAAGTATGCCTGAATTTATGTTGTTTATAATGAAAAGCTTGCTTGAACATGGAAATGAAAATCAAGTGGCACCTATTTTATTACAGATCCATAGAAATATGTAGGAAGGTCAGCAATTATTTGCCTCTTTT